AGGTTCCAATTTGTTTTAATTTAACGCTGTTATTTCAAATCAATATGTACGGTTTTCAAATATTTACCATTTAACTGACTTTATATTTGACTTGTAGAGATGTTTTGATATGTTTGGAAAGTGTTTTCAATTTCAGATAGAATGTTTATCTAAAATATATGCAACATGTTTTTTCCTTTGTCGTTGCATTTTTTATTCACATTCACTTCCGGTAAAACGCCTGGCTATTCGACATCCCTGTCCGGTATGTGCCGGACTGATATTTTCCTGAGCACGTAAGACTTGACTAGGAATTATTAGACCAATCTCCAAAAAATACAAAAAAACAACACAAAAACAACAACAACAACAACAACAAAAAAACAACAACAAACAGACAAACAAACAAAAAATACAGAGAACAATAATTGAGCAAACTGGACTGGTTATCGGTTATGTCACTACTATATAAACATTAATTATATTTTTTTTTCATAGTTTTGAAAACATTGAGTTTAATCAGATATTTCAACACCGAGCATCTTTTTTATACATGTATGTATTTTATATATTATTTATAATCTTAGAGTCCTCTTTGCTTTTATCCGACACATTAATCTTGTTAAGTTAATGGCCCGTAACAGTATCCATCAATAATGTATTTAAAATTATCGTCTGCAAACAGGTTCCTTTCCAAACATTCGGTTAATTTCCCTAGAGGCTTGTATTTTCTTCTCGTGAAAATCTGAGAAACTGTATACTGACATTTATTTTCCATCGTTCTGATGATCGAGAGTATTGTTCGTCTTTTGCACATACAGTTTAATGTAGTCTTACTGCAATACTTTCCCGCCAAATAATTTCTAACATCGGCCAATATCGTAATAACTCGGTCATTTCCGGAACGTTATTTTTCACAATATTCGGTATTTAATATGTTTTGACCGTTTATATCCGGAATTTACTACATAGCGATAAAGGGTAAATGATTATAAATAATCTAATGCCCAAGATTTTGAAAAAAAATAACTTTCCGGAAATAACCGATTTGCTACCATATTGGCCGATGTTAGATATTGTTTTTTGGCGGGAAAGCATTACTACTAACATTTGATGTGTTGACAAAATCCCTAGACAATTTTCTTTAAATCTTACGTTTAAATACCATCTTATTAAAGGAACATTTTGCCTCTGAAACTAATAATATTTGCCTTCTTTAGGAAAGGCAAACATGAATATTATATTGTATTAAATAATGGTTTCATAGCATGTGTTAGATGCATAAAACCTAAAAAGGTAGCACTGAATGTGCAATTGTGTGTCAGGAAAGTAACAAAATGTAAACAAAGTAGTATTTTGACTTCCTTACAAAATTCTAAATCACTGTAATTGTAAAAAGGAACAGAAGCAAAAGACGTTTCGGATTATTGGTCAATGAGTAACTTTTTGGAAACTTTAAAAGTACAACATTTTTTTTCTTTTTGAGAGACACAATTTTTTGGGGGCATAATGGGCCTTTAAGTACATTCTTATCTTATTAAACAGCTGGTTGTATAAGGTATAAAATTGTAATGAGTCTCTAAAATGAAAATTTATTTTCTTCCCATTGTTTCTCCTGGCAGTTGTGATTTTATTTATTGTCTGTACAAAGAAGCACTCCTTTGTGACAATTTTAAATCGCAATAATCCTGATATTTTTTAACTTAAAGGCGCATTAAGTCTCGGAGATTTTTTGTTCTGTAGAAAAGGCAAACGTGTGCTTAATGATGTTGTGATAAAGTGTTTAGAACATGTAAGATGCTTTTTATGTGAAGAGAAATAATGATGATTGTGATAAATGTAATAAAATATAATGAAAATGGTATTTTGACTTATCTACCAAATACCAATTCACAATAATTGCATTATGGGATACCCATGATTGATAAACATAATATTAATGGTTTGGCCGAGGGAACCCGATGATGTACATGTAAATGAACTAAATTCAGAAAACACAAAAAAAGTAAAATTTGGCTTACCTATATGGGAAATGAGTATCGGTTTGAAAATATTAATAAAAAGCTTAATATGATCACAGCATGTAAACCCGTCTACTCCATGTAATCGCAAGAAAGATACAAGTTGAAATATATAGGCTCGCAAGAAGGGGTACAGTGATTAAAAGTGACAAATGCTTGTTCTCGCAAGAAAGGGTACACGTTGAATTGTATAGGCTCGCAAGACAGGGTACAGTGATTTCGTTCATATATTGTGATGATAAAACGTTAGCATTTTTAAGACTAAGTGAGCCTTTAAGTGCCAGTATTTGAATACGTCACATATAGTTAACTCATTAAATAAAAAAGTACTACTTTTGCGTAGGATTCTTTTTCGCTCACATGAGTTTCTCATCTCCCAACGTGCAATTTTGAAATTTTTCACGGCAGAAAATAATCTCCTTTTTTAACAAGAGTTTTTTTCTTTCTTTTTCTGCTGTAACTTGTGATTTGGAATCCGAAAAGGGTAGACATTAAATTTCACACTGCTATAATTATTTACACATCGGAAGGTAATGCAAGAAGCTCGTGATGGAATTAATTTCCCTAAGGGGTTAAAACATCTAAAATGTTAATACCTAAATAGTTCCAGTATTTCATATCTTATTATGTGTTCTGAGATTAAAAATGTCTAAAAATTGTGTGTACATGTATGATATGCATGCACGAGTCTCCTTTAAGAAAAAATATTTATACGAACGCGAAATTCGGAAATGTTTTGTTATTAGCGCATTTACAATTAGATTTGAGAGCATTGTGTCCTTTGTCGGTTTTTATTTATTTATTTATTTATTTATTTATTTATTTATTTATTTATTTATTTATTTATTTATTTATTTATGTTTGTAATTATTTATTTATTTATCTTTATTTTTTGTCATAATTATTTATTTACGCGCTTAATAAACATATTTTATTTTGCAATTAAGTTATCTTTTTCTTTTTGTTGTTCTTTATTTTTGTTTTGTTTTGTTTTGAAAAAAATACGCATAATAGTTGCGAGCATATGATATCTGAAGTTGCTTTGAAAACATCTTAAGTGACCTGGATTTACAGTAAATATGTAAATAATGTCCTTTTAAACTAAGAATCATTTTGCATGATTTTATGTCGTAAAAGTTGGATCTCTATATAAGTCTCTTGAATTGCATTAGAAACAATTTTTTTTCTCTGTCTGTTACAAAGGGACAAAAGGAAATGACTTTCATCTTAGTTTTGCCTCTAACTGACAAATGCTTTTTTCTGCAAAACATGTTTCTAGAATAATAAAAGATTAACACTTTTTACAACGTTAAATGTCTATTTTTGCGTCTTTGTTCTTCAAATACTTATACAACTAAAAGGAAAGGTGGGGCTTTGTTTAGAATAAAATGTCTCGGTTTTGTTTAACAGAACGAGGAGCTCGAGTACTCTTCAGGAAATGAGGTGTTTTTGCTGGATAAAATGTCTCGGTTTTTGTTTAACAGAGTGAGGAATACTCTTCAGAAAGGAGGCTTTCCCTTGACATTTCATGCTGGCAGATATCGTAATATTTTTTTAAAGTACGAAAACTAATGTGCCAAACTGCATCAGCAATTAATCTCCGTGTTGGAATTTCTGTTATCTGCTTTACAACAAAGTTGGTCATTTATCAAGCTTTCACTTAAAGCAATTGTTTTATCATTCTTTAGGGAGTCACGTGACGCACGTGATTGTTACTATGATTTTGACTTATATTGTTTTAAACGTAAATTACTGGATTTATCTGGGTTTTTTTTTAAAACTTCGTCTGCTTCCGTTTAAATCTACGAGAGTGAAAAATGTAATTTATAATTCTTGTCAATGATTTGAAATAAACGATTTCCCACGAGAAATAAAATCTGAAACATTTAGTGTAATACACAGGCATGATTCGATATTATGTTTTAACACAGAGATAAAAAACATTTTTGAAACAGTAGTTTCAGAATTCTCACGAAAATCCTTTTTACACAGTGAGCTGATAATCTCACCTTCATTTATTTCATTGAATAAAACAATATATGCATGTATGTAAATAACTTCTACAATAAATGATAAAGACAGAAGGCATGGAATTTTCAAATAGCAAAAAATATAATTCTGTGTAAAACATATAACTACGCATATACGTTAAACATCACTTATTAAAATAAATTGAGTTAAGTTAGACACCGTGCTATGGAAGCAATATCTCTTGTAGTATATTTGAGCCGCGTCACGACAAAAGCAACATAGTGGGTTTGCGACCAGCATGGATCCAGACCAGCCTGCGCATCCGCGCAGTCTGAATAGGATCTATGCTGTTCGCTTATCAACCCTATTACAAGCACAGAAACTGATAGCGAACAGCATGGGTCCTGATCAGACTGCACGGATGCGCAGGCTGGTCTGGATCCATGCTAGTCGCAAACGCACTATGTTGGTTTTGTCGTGACGCGGCTCAAATCATCATCATCAGACAAATATGTATTTCAAACTTGATTTTGAAGTTAATTGTGTTTTATGTTTGTTGATTGTTGGTTGGTCTGTTGGTTGGTTAGTTGGTTTGGTTGATTGGTTTGTTGATTTTGGTTGGTTGGTTGGTTGGTTGGTTTGTTGGTTTGGTTGGTTGGTTGGTTTGTTGGTTTAAGTTGGGTGGGGTTGAATTGGTTGGTTTGGTTTGTTTTTACACCGGAACTGTAAATATTAATTGACGAATATGCAACTTCACTGACGGAGTCTTCGGGTGTCACGGTTCATTTTCGAGCATTATTTAAGACACGAACTATAACCTTCGATCTCCTTTAATATTATTCAACTTTTCAACTTTAACGAGTTGGAAATGCCATAGAAACAACTAGTTGGAAAAGAACTTTTACACAATTTGACCATTTTCCATGTATTTTTAAGTTTGTTTACCTTCAAATATTATAGTAACCAAGAATTTTCGATTTCTATTTAACAGACTTTGTTCATTTATTTGTACTATTTGTATATTTTCAGTTGTTGTACTTTGTGCCAGCGCAGACTCAGTGCGAGAGATCATGATAAAAGCACACGAGCTCAATTTTGACAACGGGGAATATGTCTTTTTCAACATCGATTTATTCAGCAGGTGAATAAACGCTAGCAAAACATTAAAATATTGCAAAACAAGTAAAGTTAGTAAGCCTGGAATATAAACTATAGTGATATTTCTGTAGAATTTTTATCATCCAGATATATTTAGAAACCTTCAGCTTCGATTAAAAGCAAGTAGAAAATAGAAAAAAAATATTGCACTTGATGACTCTTGAGTAACAGGCTGCAATAAAGCAGACGACATTTTTTGTTGTTGTTATTTTATTAATTTATTTATTTAAACAGTGACTTACGTTGCTAATAAATTTCACAATTATAAGATTACATACGTGTTGAAAGAAATATAAATATGAATATTATATTTTTAGCAAAAATGAAAGCAAAACTCCATGGTACCGAGAAGGTGACTCGAAAGAAAGGAACGATAATGCTAGAAAGGCGTACGAAGCGCTAATGACCGTCACGTTACGGAAACCTACCAGTCCGGAATACAAAAACTTCAGCAGTGAAGTTAAACGACGAGCAAAATCACGTTATGAGAACTTTACATACGGTGAAGAAGAGGTAAGCAAACTGAATGGTTGTTGTATGCGTAAAATGATTAGATATATCCAGGATAACGGACTTTGCAAGCCGCCATATTGGCATTTCTCTAAATAATGACGTCACATTGAGAAACACCATAGGTTCTACAAAAAATGTTTTGATTGGCTTTCGGTTTATGACGATGTTTTTCGAAATTAGCCGATATTTAACGATTCATTAGGGTCCGTTATCCTTACTCTACTATATTAGGTCATGTCATGTTTTTGAATCGAGCTATATTGCTGTTGTGTACAAACAGCTCGTACAAACAGCCCGTATGAAAAACAAAATGCAATCAAAAGCAATAATCTTATATCAGATTGTCCCAGTGTTTTTCTAACATATGTAAATATCTGTTCTAAAATAGTGTGCGTGTTAGCTTAAGTTAATAACGTTTGACTTCCTTCTGTTTAAATCAACAACACGATATCCTTCAAAGTAGTTCAGTGGATTAAAAAACATGCTCTTTAACTGTGTGAAATAAACAGGGTGCTCTCTCAATCAAATACAATACGTTCTTTCTTTTTTATTTGAAGTTCATTGCAATTTAACTCGAAATTAAAACTAACCTATTTTCCCAACTGCAAAAAAAATTGAATCACGCGTGTGAATGCGCCATAAAATACCCCTAGAAGCGTAAATATTTGTGAAACTTCACACTTGAAAACCCATCTAAAATCTTGAAGTGTAATTGAAATTGAACCGAATTTAATTTCAAGAATTTATACAATTTACGAGGTGTTGATTGAAGTTGTAAAATGTACGACACTCCAATTAAGGTATTTGCATAAATGTCTTCCGATAATTTCAGTAATTTTCATCTCTTGAATTAAACGCAATGCTGGCTACATTTTAAGCAGGAAACTTCTTTTAATGGAGTCAATATTGATATGTAACCAGAACATGAGATAGAAAATTCAGCTGTTTTGAAGGAGTTTATTTACTTCAATTTTATATTTCTAACACAAAAGTAACACATTTTGTGAAAATGATACTACATTTATTAATATATTTGTCAAATGATTTAGCATATAGTTTTTGGGAAAGATTGATGTCAGTAATATTCAATCGTTATATATCTTAAATCTAAAAAAAATGATTGTTTATGTATGTATGAAGTGGTTTAGAAAACATTGGACACGAAAACGAGGATTGTTCAAAAAGTAATAGGACTGCAGCTCTACTGTTCACATTTTTTAATTTACGTTCATAATTTTACAAGAAACAAATATCGGAACATGTTCTCTATTTACAGTGAAAAAAATCAATACAAAATGTTTACAAATAACAATTCTGTGAAATTCTCAAATGACAAGGGGTTAGAAACCCGGCGCACGCTGACAATACAAGAAATGACGTTCATGGCGTCGTTAACTAAATACAAAATATAACAAGTGTCATCCATCCTGAAAGTATTCTTCCTAGTGCTCTAGGTATCTGAATCATCTTACCATTTTAAGTCTATTTGGTCGATTCTAAAAGGGCAAAATCCTTCAGGAATGTTTACATATCCCTGAGAATATCGAAAACCTGGTTATTTAAAGCCACATTTATCGTTTAAAAATGATTTTTTTTTCTTTTCATACAAAAGGGAAAAGATATGTAAAGGGGTGGTTTAGTAATGGATTTGAAGCATATTAGATGCTAATTTAATGTATAGTAAAACAAAATGTGGTAAAAGACGCAAAATGTAAACAAATGGGTATTGTGACTTGACTGACTTCCATATAATTTACTAAATCTCTTTAAAGATCCTGTAACACAATTTTTTCATGGTTTTATTTCATAAATATGATGCTCAAGTTAAGATTTGTCAATATTGTAAGTTACAATAAGCATTATTTACAAAGATATTACCCAATTTAACATTTCATGTAAATAAAGGGAGGTAATTAGAAATTCATTTTCTATAAATTCTAAGTCAATTTTTCCAATAAAAAATGTATGCATGTAAATTATTGATTAAATATAATGTGCACAAAAATTTGCAGTACACATTTTACATATTCTTCGATGTTTGAAAATTGTTTTATTTGCATAATTATATACATATATAATTGTTTGCAAGTGTGGTATTCACACAGTAACAATATCGATCACAAAACATACAGGATCTTTAACTATATTAAATACCAACATGCAAAATCGGTAAAGTATTGTTCAGTTACATTGTCAATGAGTATTTTTTTTAAATGTACATGTACATGTATAAGGACTTTAAAAACAAAAAAGTATTAAGATTTTTTTTCTAAATATTTTTTGGATTTAAAATGGGCAATGGAATTGTTTGCATGTTAATAGAATTGTTATTCATTTTGGAAAATATTATTGTCTTCTGAACAGTTCGCTGTCTTTAATGACCTTTTGACTTGTCATAAATTTCTAAGCTTTCTTCACGGGTTTCGTGACACTATCAAATTATTATCATCATTATTGTTTCAGTTACGCATGCAATGCACTGTTGCGTTCAAGGTTATAACATGCATTCAATATTTTTTCATTGCTTCCGTCAATATGAGTATGGATCTTTATATTTTAAACGTATTTTGTTTTTTTTACGAGTAAAAGTATACTGTATAAATTCTGATTGTGAAAATATTTACAGAACTTCACATTGTCTTCCAAATAAATTTGGTACAAAAATCTGAAAATTTGTAAAATTCAAAATGGAAGAGAACGACAGAGCCTAACAGAGCTAGTGTACAAGAAAACCCGGGTGATTTCAGCTTACATGGGTGTATTATTTTCCATAACATTTAACCTGATTGGCCCAGAAGCAATAAGCCTTTGTCACCTGTATATAGCTTGGCAAGAAGCCAATGACTTTTCTTAATTTTCAAGTATGGCAAATCCATTGCAGTTGAGGGTAATGAATTGTATGAATTAGAGAATAGCTAAGGACGCCTCCGACCAATATAAGCTTATTGGGGACAATAATAAAACGCATTTTGCATCGGGTGGTTTATTTACTACATCTACTTGCCGAATTACCAAAACACAATGACGTGAAAGTCACATGGTATGGGCATACTGATGGTCTCGAAGCCTTAAATCAATTCTAGATATATATGTATTATAGCGCTTTATATTACTTAAGTATACATTTCTTTACTTCATTAAACACATTTTTTCTACTGAAAATGACTTTCAAATTTATATTACTCGATTTATAGGACTTACTTATTTTTTTCAATTTAAGTTATGTAACATCGTTATATCAGAGTGAATACATAGCTTTTTCTCGGTCAATGATTTCTGTGCCGCAGCTTTTATTTTGTATGTATTGACAGCAAATGTTGTTCTTATGTAGCTATTTGTATACAAGGCAAGAAACCGGGAGTTTATTAATCCAGGAAACTTTTTCTATAAGGTTTTACGACTCATTAACTCAGGACTATTACAAGACCTATAGAGTTTACAAATTCGTTTAATATTAAAACGGAAATGACAAACGCCGGTATTTTGTTAGCGGCACATATTGATCAACAGTCGATGGCACTGCAGAACGAGAAAACAGGTCATCTTTTTATGGCTTGAGAAGAAATACGCGCGTGTAATTGTCTCCCAAACAATTGGGCGGATTGATTCGTATTAGTTGGACAAGAGGAATTAATTATTTCTTCCCCTAGAAATATTTCTGCTGTCCGTACCAATAACTTATCCCGAGGAAACCTGTTATCTTTTATCCCTGTTTTTGATGTACAAGAGATAGGTCTCATTAAAATGATGCGGCACTCGGTGTGCAACAAACAAAGACTTTAAAAGGTCCATTATGCTTTAGAAATGCTATCAATTTTATTTCTCATTTATTTGTTGGTATCTCGTTACAGTTTCCAAAAGAAAAAAATGAATATAAATATATAAACATATAAAAAGAAATAGCTATTTATTCATGAAATATCTTCCGATACTTTTGCTTAGTTGCGGTTGGTATTGTTATTGTAAATAAGTAATTTGTATGTTCTGTTCTGTTCTGTTCTATGAAAGCCAAAATACTTCTGTTTGATTACATTTTGCTACCTTACGACACATTTCTGCAGCGCTACTTTCTCCAGTTGTTCAGCATCTTACATGATCTAAATCCAGTATTAAAACATACTTAACACATGTTTGATACTTCTAAAGAATTAAGAAATATACATTTCTGAGGCATAATGTGCTTTTAAAATAATTACAATCTCAGCAAAGTATTAGTATTTTGAAAACCCTGATCCTAGGTAACAACACGATTATCACGGTTGCATTTGAAGAATGCCATTTTTGAAGCCTACAAAGCCTTTAAAACATTACGTGATATGGTATTTTATTTTGATACTTGGATTAGAAATGAGTGCCTATCTTTTATACCATTGCTCAGTTGAATGATATTTTCAAGAAATATTGGAGGCTACAATGAAAATTCGATTTGATGGAAAAAGGGTAATTTTCAGTCAAGATTAAACCATGAGATGTCCTGATGGGTTGTCAAAATGCGTCTCACGTATTCAAAGTCAATTTAAATGAAAACAAGCGCTTTATGATACAGATGACAGGGTTTGAATTGTTAAAAAAATCAGCCTTTTCAAGGTTTTTTTTATTACTAGCTTTTGAATTGAAATAAAGTTTTTCTATTGCAGTTAGACAAAAATATCGTGTACATACAATTTACATATAGGCGATTCTTTCAGTTTTTTTTGTCTATAAATCTTAAAAGGAGTTTATTCATTGTTTTGTTATTTGTGGTGTTTTTTGTTTTGTTTTGTTTTTGTTTAGTTTTTTCTTCTTCTTTTCCTTCTTTTTTCTCTTCTTCTGTTTCTTCTTCTTTTTTCTTCTTCTTCATCTTCTTCTTCTTCTTCTTCTCAATATTCACGTTGAGGTTGTAAATAACATATAAATACTTACTTATTTTATTGTAGGATAGAAAAGTAGAAAAGTTAAAACATTTAATTGTTTTGATAAAATTGACCGCCTTTTTGTTTTTTTGCACATTTCCTTCTCAT